CCAAATTTCATTACCGTGCGATCCCCAAGGCCGCGGACACCGAGAACGTACCGTGCTGGGCTTACGGAGCCATCCGACACTGGCGGCGGGAGTGAGCGATCGTGGTCCAGATGTGCAGTGCCTGGAGGATCAAACATCATGGATACCAGCACGCCCGTCGCCTACATGACGCAGCGAACGCGTTCTACTCGATCAAGACGGCCAGGCTGAATCAGGTGATCTTACAGCGAATGCATCCCCGACATGTACCTATGATGTTGGACAGAGTGAAGTGGGCACACTTCAACTTCGACGGCCAGGAGGACCGCCTCTTGCTGATGGGGGAGGGCTGCATGCCAGGCGACCCCGTGATGGTCTTCCTCTTTGTCTTGGCGTACGCGATGGGGCTCGAAGAATATGCCATGAATGTTTATCAGAATTTAGAGGTTGTTTCACCGTGGACGGGGCAAGCAACTCAGGCCGCCCTCACTCTTTTCGTGGATGATATTGCGGATGCATTCAGATTCCGCAATCGGCAGCAGGCACAAGACCGAGGAGCTGACCAAAATGAGAAGGTAACAAACATGTTGGGGGAGATGGGGCTGAAGCAAAACGTGAGCAAGCAAGAAACTGTACCGTACTGCTGTGGGGTAGGAAGTTTCAAGCTCGAGCGTGAAATTCTGAGGAACCAGGTCGTCCAGGGACAGAGCGCGGCGGCCGCCAAGTATCTCGGGGTTCGTATAACGGCAAAGTTCTCGATCGCGGTCAAAACGGGATATCGCATCCAGGCGGGGAAGACAGCGTGGGGGATGATGGGCAACTTCTGGACATCGAACGTCAGTATAAAATGGAAAATATCGATATTTAAGGGCTACGTCATAAACGCCATCCTGACGGGCATCGAAACGTTTGTCAAGCATGATGGGCCTATGAAGGTCCACGACTTCCAGGGGCTCCAAGGGTTTCTTGCACGGCGTGGGCGGGTCGTACTTGGAGGTGTTGCTAGTCACAGGATCGACGCCTCGATTAGGTCGCTGACGAATTTAGAGGTTATGGTGAAGCTCGGGTCAGCTAGCCTGTTCGTGGAAGCTCGTATACGGCGGTTAAAATGGCTCCAACATCTTTTAGCTGAGCCAGATTCTGCTGAGCAAGTTTTGGGAGTAGTTTTTGGTGATCTTCGAATCGAGGGCCAGGTGTACCCCGCGGTGTCGGACGATACTTGGCAGAATGGGAACCCCTGGGCTCGACAGTGGCTCTCGGACATTGTGGCCCTCGACACCTTTGAGGACGGGGAGGTTTTTTGGGAGAGATACGATTTCAAGCCGATGAAGGCCATCACGGAAGGACGGGAGGATTTTATTCGACTTGAGCTCTCGGCACTTCGTGCGCACTTTATGATACACCGTGCACAGTATGAGCCTGTACGAGGGGAGCTTGAGGAAGGAGGATTATACCAATGCTGGGCGGTGAATGATGAGGGTAACCCGTGCCAAGCACGCTTCGTGGACAAGACACGGCTTGCTTCACACTATGTGCACACGCGTGGAGGAACTCATGGGCGACAGGTCTTCTTTCGAGCGTGCTGTTTCAGTAATCAGTGTACGATTTGTGGTGCAGTATTATGTTCTTATGCGCAGGCGCAGAAACACATGAGTGCAGCTGTGGAGCGTGGGATGTGTGTGGACAGATCCCGATCATCGGCGTTCGTCAAATGCAAACGACTCGATGCCGACTATGCGAATTTGCTGCTGATGAGCCTCAAGCATTGAGGCGCCACATTCTTAGTGCCCATATGGCCGCACATCTTGGCGGCCATCTTCTAGAGCTGGATGTCGTGGCTGATCACGGGAGATGTGCAGCAGACGGGAGAGAAGGAGCCCAAGCGCGGCAAGTCCAAGGAGTCGGACGACGTCGTCACCAAGAAGATGCTGGTCCAGCTCGAGGCGCGCATGAGGACGCAGGAGCATTACACCATGACGCAGGTCCATCTTCCTGCGGACCACCCCCTGGTCGTGGGATGTCAGGCTCAGTACCAGTCGTACCTCGAGCAGGTGAAGAAGGACGGGCCCCAGCACGAGCGCGGGCCGCCAGAGCTCCATCTGTTTTCGAGGGCTCTGAACGATATCGAGAGTTGGATGGCAGAGGGTTCTTCGCTCGAGGTCAAGAATTACGTGGGCCTGCCGACGAGAGTGCGCAGCATGCTCGAGCATGGCAAGAGCGAGGACGCCAGCGAGTGGATCAAGGATTTTACATTCAGCCCGATGTACGACGTGAAGAAGGTGAGATTGACAATGAGTATTCGAGGACACGTGCTCGTCGCAACAGCAGGCAAACACGTGGAGAGGTTGAACAAGGCCCAGCTGGAGGCCTGGGGTGGTGCCCCGACGGACGACAAGTTCGAGGAGGTGCTCCAGCGGACCCCGCTGGAGACGCCGGCGGTCCCCGAGGGCGCCAAGCTCGTCGAGCTCCAGCACGCCCTCAGCGTGATCCTTCGCGCCTGGGGCGGCTCCAGGAAGGTGGG